AGGGAAGGGACAACAAAAGGGCAGGACCGCAAAACAAGTTCTCTCTGTTCTTCCATTTAGATTTGGGCTGTTCCCTGCCCCAAGTCTCTGTTCTTTTCTCTCAAAATCTCCAATCCTACTCATTCTCCGTCTGCCTCTGTAGCACAGCCTGAGGTGCCTGCAGGCCAACTGGGTGATGGAACTTCGATCCAACTAGGAGGGGTGGAGTTCATCCTGGAAATACCTGGCTCTCCAGGGTAAAGAAGTGTGTGGTGGTCCCAGATGAGTAAGGAAGCCAGCTCCCCTGTAGCGATGGGGGTGGACAGCAGGGGCTTCTCCTGTCTCACCCAGGAATCCAAGAGGAAGCACACAGTAACCAGCAGACGGGGGCAGGGGGAGTGGAGCAGAGAAGTCTGGGTGGGCAGAGACGGACGGAAGGGCAGGCACTGCAGCCCCAAAGTGGGACTCGTTCCCAGTCCTCACATTTTCTGCAGCTCACACGCTTCCAAGGAATTTTAGTCTTTCTCTCGTTCTGTCGTCACACTCCCCTATGAAGAAAGGGACAAAATGACCCCCTCCCCCCAACGATGGAAGGAAAAACTAAGCTCAGAGAAAAGACAGTATTTTTCCAGAACTGTGGCCATGCCAGGACGAGGCACCCAGGGTCCTCCTGGCTTGGCGTGGGGCTGGGTGCTGATGGCTGCTCCTGGGAGGGTCATGGGGGGGGACGTGGCTAGGTCGATCCTCGTGCTTCTCAGGTGGTCTGGGCTACCCTCGTGTAGTCCCAAATCACGGTCTGGTATTTATTGATGTTTTATTCTCGGTCTGACAAAGACTGTCCACCGTGGCCTTGGACCACCACTCGGACAGACTGCAGGTGCCTCCAAACCGAAGCCGAGACCAGGGTGGCCCTCCTTCCCTCATCTCCTCCCGCCCCGCAGAAAGGCAGCCCCTAAGCAAGTGCCCCTGTGGCACCACTGCCCTTCAGCGTCTCCACAGATGGAGCAACTCAGAATACTGAGAAAAACTCAAGTTCCAAAGAGATGAGGGGTAGGAAGCAGGGCAGGAACAAGGTTGGAGAATCCATGTCCCACCTTCCAATTCATGGTAAAGATTTTATACTCAGGCAGTGGGGCCCTTTGAAGGGCTTTGAGAGGGAGGGTGGAGTAAAGTGATGTCTAATTTTGAGGGATCCCTCCAAGGGTGGAGGAGGAGGATGGACGGGGGGCAGATGTGGATGTGCTCCTGCCCAGGGGGCCCACCCCTGTCCATGCTCAGCGGGGGGCCTCTGGTCATTTCCATCTGGTCACACTTGGACAAGGTGTGGAGGGCTCTCCTCTCCTGCCACCCTAATGCTCCTGGAGGCTTATGAGGGTCCAGACAATTGGAAGATGGGCTACTCACATATGGGGTGGTCAGTTGGGGTGGTCATTTGGGGAGCTGAGCAGAGGTTTGGGATATAGAAGGAGTCCCTTAGACTAGACAGTCACGGGTTGTCACCAGTGGGTTATCTTCCCTCAGTGACGCCAGACAATCAGGGCTGCTGCTTGAGTCCCACTCTCTACGGCTCCCTGCTGACCAGTGGGGTCCACTGCCTGAAGCTCAGAGGCCTTCCTCGGCCAACTTGGCGTTTGTCTGTGTGGCCTACACCTCCGCCTACACCTCCCTCTGCACCAGCTCAGCTTGTAGCATCTCAATCATGTCTGGGGTGGAAGGAGATTAACTCTGCTTGTAGTATCTGAATATTCCTGTCTCACCTTGATTAGTAGCTTTTCTGAAACAAGAATGTGCTGCGTTTGGGTTTTCTGGGTTCCTAAGGACCAAAATTGCAGGTGGCCTGGAGCTAGAGGAAGAAGCATGTTCCAGCCAGCAGGAAGAATCTATGCAAGGTCCTGGCAGGGAGGCAGTGTGATGCATCAGAGAGACTGAGAGCATGAACTGTGGCTGGAACTCAGAGCTCCACCAGGACACGGGACAGATGAGGCAGAGACGTGAACAGGCCAGATTCCACAGGGTCTCACAGCCCAAGAACGTGGGAAGCACCAGAATTCACCACACAAGAGGCGTCATGGCCTGATTGACATTTTGAAAGGACCCCCTTGTGGGGAACAGTGGTGGGGAGCAAGGATGGAAGTGGGGGGGTGTTGGGAGAGTGTGGAGTAAGACAGGTGAGCAAGGATGGTAAGTTGGACCAGGCTAAGGTGGTCCTGGAGGTGGTGGAAAACAGATGGATTTAGGAGGTATTTCAGGGGTGAAATTCACAGGCTCCATCACAGATCGGATCTGGGCTGTGAGGGATGAAGGCTGTCAGGGCTGCCTTCAGATTTCTGGTTCGTGGACTGAGCGATGGTGGTAGCATTCATAGCGATGGGGATACTGAAAAAGTGTTGCGTTGTGGAGAAGGTCGTAAGTTTGGTTCTGGACGTGTTGACTTTGACGGGCCTCTGAAACATCCAAGCAGAGACGCCAGGTGGGCAGCAGGGTGTGTGGGTCTGGTGGCTAGAGAAGAGTCATTGTGAAAGGTTAAGTTTAGAGAGTCATTGGCATAGAGGTGATAATTAAAGTCATTGGCGTGGATGCGAGTTCCCAGGAAAAGGGCTGAGTGTAGAGAGGAGGCCCCAGGTCCAGGCCTTGTGAAAATGCATCTAGTTGATCCAGAGACGGTAAGCTATGCCTCCCCTCATGGCACCCTACCATTCTGATTCCAGTTCCAGTGTGTGGGTTTTTTCCCCACACTAAGCAGTTCTGCAACACCATCTGGGTGTCCTACAATTCAACTCATTTCCGACACTGTCTACCTGGAGACAGCATCGGATTGCACAGGTTAAAGGGTGGGAAGGGGGCACTGAAAGTTCCACCCTCTCATCACCAGGTTGGTTCCCCTGGCAACCAGCCCCCTTCCTTAGGTTACAGAGGGGCTTTCCAAAAGTCACCTTATCAACACAGCAAAAGACACCTTGATCGTTCTCCACATTTAAGAAGTTCTAAGTGTTTTAGGAGCTCTGTACAAGCAACAGAATGAAGACCAAACTGTCTGTTTCTTATAATAAGTCACAGTGTCACAGCCCCAGAGCCCAGGAGGGGAGCTAAGCCGCAAGCACCCATGGATCTCTTGCTCAAGGCAGCTTGTGCTAAGAGCAGAGGGAAGGCCGTGGAAGGAAAATCAAAGTGGAGTCGGTATTGCTAAGGGAGCTCTCTAAAATGTCATTATTGCCTGGAATGTCTTTCTGGAGCTGGAATGGCTGAACCGTATGCTGTGCTCTAATCACTGGTTGTGGGGAGGAGGTGGGCGTGAAAACATGGCCCCAGGCAGCCGTGATCCACGTGTCAGAGGGCAAGTGGAGGGGCCAGCCAGGATGGCCGGCGGAGCCCTGGAGGCCAGCCTCAGACCCCAGGTGGCACCTTTAGGGGACGGTGGCTCAAGGTCAGTGGTTTGACAAAAGCTTTAGGCTGACTCTGAACCTGAGCTACCCAGCTCACAGTTGTGTGACTGTGAATTGCTGTCGAGGAAAGGTGGACGTTGACTGGGCATGCCCGTTATCACCTGCCCAGGTAGGCATCAGGATGGCTCCGGCTGTTTAGACATGCGCACGGAGGTTTCCAGGCCTTCCCTGGGGTGTAGAGGCCTGTTCTCAGTTCTGCCCTGGGCAGAAAGGCACAAGGGGAGAGGGATTAGCAAGACTGGGGACCAAGGAAGGAAGCCCGACCCCTGATACCCTGAGCTGGAGGCCCCCCACCCCCCATCACACCACCAGCACGATTGCCCACTCCTGCCCCTCTGTGTTCTGTCCTCTGCCTTCCAGATGCTTCAAGACCCAGCTTCAGGTTCAATTCCTCCTGAAGCCACTTTGACTTTCCACCTTTCTGGTCTCCCTCAGTATAGACCAGAGCCCACAGTCTAGAAACAAATTATGGAATCTTTACTTGCTTGTCATAATTGCGTTTCCTGCACATCAGTGGTATCTTCACAAAGAGATGATACATTTCTTAAGCACAGGGACCCAATGTCCCAGTTCTCCCGAAACTGCCTGGCAGAGAGCTGGGCACATAGCCGTCTGCTCCACAAGCCGGTAACTGACCAGAGGTTCTGTTTCAAGAGACCAGGAAGAGCTGCCTTTTATACATTTGTTCGATCATTCATTCATTCATTTGGCAGGTTCTAGGGGCTGAGCTGGATGTATAAGGTGTGATTTCTGCTCACGCAGAGTTTAAAATGAAAACATACGAACAATGACAGTAACCACTTTTTTATTGCATACCCGTAGTCGAATGACTGTCCGGGTGCTTTGCACGTGTATCTCTCATTCTCATTCTCACTCCATCCTACAAGTTAGGACTTCTCCTTATTTTACAGTTGAAGAAACAGGCTCAGAGGCCTCAGAGCCAGCATGTGACAGAGCTGAGGTGTCAGCCCAGGCACCCTGAAGGGCTGCTCTGGGGGGGCCAGGGGGCAGCAGGGGCATGGGAACCCTTCAAGGGCCCTGGAGGTCAGAGGTTGCCCCTGGCCTGCACCCACTCTTGGTCTGTCCTTGCTGTCTCCTCGAGGGCTGTGAGGGCTGCCAGGGTGCCTGCTGGTCTTGCTGCCTCAGGAGGGATGCTGAAGGCTAAGCCTTTGGCATTAATTCAGGCTGGCTCTCCAGGCAGTGCCCCACCCGCCCTGCCCCCCGGGGTGCCACCCCTCTCCGCTTGTCTGGGAATCATGAGAGATTATGACAGCCGTCATCGGGAGGAGTTCCTGCTGGTGGCTACGTGTGTGTGTGTGTGTGTGTGTGTGTGTGTGTGAGTGAGTGAGAGAGAGAGAGAGAGAGAGATGGGGACACCCCCAGCCCTGTGGCCAGCGTGAACCTGTCTAACTAAGCCTGTGACGGATGACCGGGGTGAGGGGACAGCTGTGGGGATATGTGGCCGCGGTCTCAGTTAGGGTCACCCTGGTGTCCCCGCCTCAGTGCCTCAGTTTCTCCGGGTCCCCGGGTTTCCCATCCCCTGAAGCTGCTGTCCCCCTTTGTCCTTGCCTCACACAGGTATCTCCCTGCTCCCTGGCTCGCCACGCCGGCTGTGCCCCCGGGCAGTGGTCAGAGGGGGCCAGGGCCCCAAACACGGACAGCAATGCCTCCAGGTGCCGCGTCCCGGAGCCCGGGGTCTCCAGGGCAGTCTCACCCGACGTTCCAGCCAGGCGTCCGGTGGAGGGAGGTCCCCAAACAGCTCTGTGAGTACTGGGGTAGGCGGATGGGCCGGCCTGTGCGGGGGTCCCCAGGAAACCTGTGGACTGGGGGTTCCTCCACCTGGGAGGCAGGTGTCGGGGGAGGGGTTTCTGTTAGGACCTTTTCCTCTCCTGTCTCTCTGAGTCATGGTGACACACTGTCCCAGCAGCGCCGGGGCCCTCTGGTCAGAGGAGGACCCGGAAGGCGGGCGTGTGAAAGGCCAGGGGGCCCCGCCCATTGGTCTGCAGACTCCCGGGCTCCCCTCCCTCAGGTCGGAGGAACCAGACCTTTGCTGGGGCGGCTCCGAGGCTCTCTCCTGTGCCTGGCGCTTCATCTGGTTGCCCAGGTGACCTCTCAGGTGGCTGCAGAGGCAGCTGGGTATCAAAGCGGTAATAAACAGGGAAACACCCAAAGGGGGAGGCAGGTCCCTCCCCCCACTCGGTCTCGTGCTTTCTCCTCCTCCACTCTCAACCTCCCACCTCGGGGAGCAGACGGGAGTGGACCGCCGCCGGCTCTGGCAAGGTCCTCGCCAGTGGCTGGAGAGGAGGAGGAGGAGGAGGGGGAGGATGTGGGGCTGTGAGGGGCAGAGTGTACAGTGAATCCGCGTGGGGTGGGGGCAGGGGTGGGCCAGGCGGCTAGAAATCGGCCTGTGTTCCAACGGATCCAGAGAACCTGCCGGTGAGTACTGCGTGTTTGCAGGAGGGCCGCACATCTGCAAGGAGGAGGGGGTGTCGTGGTGCGTGCTGGGCGCCGCGTGTCAGAGCGTACTCGGGTGACGCGCGTGTGCACAGTGTGTGCGGGCGCGTCCGCTGGGAGGCCGAGTGCGGGATTCCGCGCATGCGCGGGAGCGGAAGTGGGGCTCTAGGCGCGAAGGGAGGCGGGCGGTGGGACGCGTGGTGTTGGCGCCGCCTGTGCATCCGGGTACCGGAGCGTGCACGTGTGCGTGGGCGCCGCAGCGGCGGGCGGCCGGGGCCCGGGCTGCACCCGGTATGGGGTGGAGGCGCTGCGGGCCCGTCGTGGCCGATGAACTGGGGCCCCTCTGTCCTTTCCTTGGGGCCGGGAGGGCCTGGCTTCCAAGTCCCCTTCCCGGGGTGCAGAGCGCAAGGGCAGCCTCCGGCGCCTCTCGCCCCTCCCTCACTGGACCTCGCCGCCCGTGTCCTGTTCTCTCCGGCCAGGTCATCAAGAACTATCTGGAGGCCTGCGAGCCGCTGTCCTCGGAGCCCCGTCTGAGCCGCCTGCACTTCCACGACAACCAAAGGAAGGTCGACTACGTGCTCGTCTATCACTACCGGAAACGCGGGGCGCACCCCGACCACGGCTCCCCTGGCCACTCGCTGGCGATCGTCTCTAATGGCGAGACGAGCAAGGACCCCGACGCGGGGGCTCCCGGTGACATTGAGCCGGGGCCGCTCGACGCCCTGGAGGAGGAGAGGAAGGAGCAGCGGGAGGAGTTTGAGCACAACCTGCTGGAGGCCGGGCTGGAGCTGGAGAAGGACTTGGAGGTGAGGTCGGGCAGGTGGCAGAGGGTACGGGGTGGGATGGCTAAGCAGGCTGGGCTCCTGCAGGAAGCCTTGGCTTTGTTCTAGCGTTTGGCATTGTTGTTTTTTTTTTTCTCTGGTGGGCAAACCAGATTTTTTTGCTCAAGGACTTGAGGAAGAGTTTTGGGATCCCAGGTGCTGGTGCTGGCGATGGGGTGCCCATCTGCTCTGTGGAAGCTGGCTTAGTTAGAGACAGAAGACACGACATTTCTTGCTGGCTCGCCATCCTCTGGCCTTTGTAATGGTTTCCTTCGAATGAAGACCTGGTTTGCCTGTTGAATTTTGGATTAAAATTCCTGTATAGAAGAACTACATTATTAAGGAACGTGTGGGAATTCCCCGGCGGTCCAATGGTTAGGACTCCACGTTTTTCACTGCTGAGGGCGTGAGTTTGATCCCTGGTCAGGGAACTAAGATCCTGCAACCTGTGAAGCCAAAAAAAAAAAAAAAAAAAAAAAAAAAAAAGGAATGTGCTTGCCTAGGGCCTTCAGGGAGTTGGTTATTTGGCAACTGAACATCAGATATATTTTATCAACTTGTGTATGTATTCCGACCTCTGATCAGTAGCCAGCCTATGGAAACCCATTTATCTACATATTCGTCCATCCGTCCGTCCATCCATCCATTTTGTCACTCACTTCTCCATCCATTTCTTCACACCATACGATCCTTTAAAGATGACCTGCCTCGCCATGCCATCCAAACTCATCTCCTACCCCTCCCACCCTCCCGTGCTGGCTCCAGCCCATGGGCCTCATCTGGGTTGTGTGTTGGTCACCGTTACTTCAGGGCCTTTGCGCTGGTTGCCCCCTCTGCCTTGGGTGCCCTTCTTCAGACCTGTGCATGCTCAGGCCCTCACTACAGACTTCTGCCCCAACATTGCCTCCTTCCAGACCTCTTCCTTGACCGTCTTAGGCAGAGCACTCCCAGCCCTATCATTCTGTTCCTTGACTCTGGTTAGCTTTTCTTCGTCATACTTAGCACCTGAAATAACACGGTAGATATGTTTATTTTTTCATCTGTTACCCTACTGGCTCCATGAAGGCAGGGGTCTTGTTTGGTTCACTGGCGTATCCCTAGCACCTAGGACAGAGCCTGGCACATAGTAGGAGCTTAACCAGTGTTAGCTGAATAAATAAGTGATGTCCGTGAGTCTCAGGTTCCTCATTTGCAAAATAATAGACGTCCCTCATTAGAAGGGGCAGTGAAAACATCTAGCACCATGTCTGGTATGCAGTAGATGCTCAATAAGTACTCATTATGATTATTGAAAAGGGTGTCATGCTGAGGGGTGGGGTGACATTCTCACCAGGAACCTGTTTTTTTCCCATTAATGCCATCCCCAAACTGGAAGGGACCCCCAGAGGTCATTCACCCATTTTTTATGTGGCCCGGCTCAGACCCCTTGTGCGGACCTGTGCTGCTCACCCAGACTCTTAAACCAGGAGCCCCTTCTCTCGTTATTCTTTGCACCGCTGTAGGGACATTGTTCTCTTTCAGGGCTACTCGGGGCGCCCTTGCTGTGGGAATGCTGACTCTGACTTTTGGAAACCCAGAGCTTGCCTGGTGCCTCTGATTGGGGTCTGGTGGGAAGGTTTCTTTAGGTAGCGGCGTGTTTGGAGGGCCATACGAGGAGCTCTTGACACCACCACCATGGGAGGCTGCACCTTCTCTGGGTGTCAGGGAGTCAAGGAGGCTCAGGGAGCGGAGGCCTGAGCCTCGAGTGGCTGCTGAGTTGGGAGACGGCAACCTGCTCCAGAGCTGGACTCTGATGCCTGAGTCCAGATGTTCACATCCCAGGCCTGGCATCTGCCAGCCTCGCGACCTTGGGCAAGTGACTCGATCCTTTTGAATCACAGTTTCCTTGTCTGTAAAAAGGGAGAAACACTACATTCTTCATTGGTTTGTGGTGAAGATGAAGTAAGACAACCAAGTAAAGTATCTAGAATAGTAACAATGAGTGTTACTGCATTGTTATTATTGAGAGTTCCCAGATCTAGCAAATAAAAACTCAAGATGCCTAGTTAAATTTGGATTCAGATTAACAGCAAATAATTTTTTTAGCTTAAGTGTGTCCCATGCAATATTGGGGACATACTTGTACTAAAAAATTATTTGTTGCTAATCTGAAATTCAAATGTAACTGTCCTTGTAACTCCTCCTACTGCTGCTAGTATCGCCGCTGTCTTTGCTGCCCTCCAGTGTGTTTCATTTTGGTTGCTATTGGATTTTCCTGGCTTTGGCTGGGAATTAGGAGGGCCCAGAGCTAGCTCTTAGGACTGACTAGTGTTAGGTGGCGCTGTGGAGTGTGTCCTGGACTGTTGTTCCTGTTGTGTACCCACCCAAAGCACCTCCCTCCTGGCCCCTACGCCGGGCTTCAAGGCTGACTTAACTGTTCTTTCTTGGGGCCTTTCCAAGCTACTCAGCCTTCCCCAAGTCCCTTCTGTCATCAGGGCCTCCACCACTCATGTAGCCATCGTGACCTACTGTCTTGCAGTGTTTTTTGTTTTTTTTTTCTTTCTCTTGTCTAAAAATTAATTATTCTTATTTGCTTTGGCACCTCTGATGCAGAGTTGAGTTAATTACAGTGCTCAGTCATGGTACATTATTAGTAATGTTCTGCAAAGGTCCTTCTTGTGACTTTTCTAAATACCCCCTGCCCTTCACTCTAAACTCCTGCTCCTTCCACAGGCAATCATTCCAATGCCTCGTGTTTCTGGGAAATGCATAGTGTCATTTTCACTGTATGCAATTTGTTTTTCATTAAAAAAAATAGACGTTATTGTTTAGAACAGTTTTAAGTTTACAGAAAAATTGGACAGAGAGCTCCCCTGTCCCACACACCCAGTCTCCTCTGTTATTAATATGGTACGTTTGTCACAATTAATGAGCCGATATTGATACACTGTCATTAAGGAAAATCCCTCCTCTGTTCAGATTTCCTTAGTTTTTACCTTCTCTCTTTTTCTCCTCCAGGATCCCAGCCCAGATCCCACGTTATATTCAGTGTCATGTTTCCTTAGGCTCCTCTCGGTGGTGACAGTTTCTCGGAACTGTGTGCATTTTTGATTTACATAGAGGAGCTCTGTTTTACAACCCATTCTGCTTCTTTCTTTTCCCCCCAGCACTACATTTTTCAGACCATTCATGTAGTGCACGTGCACCTAATCCCTTTTTTCTCACCGATGAGCGCTTGTTTACCTAGTTGCTCCCCGAATGATAAGAGCACCCAGTTGCCACCCAACAAGGTTGCGAATGAATTGTCACCTCCTTCAGGGCAGTGTCCCATCGTCTGCTCCATCTCTCCCCCCGCAGCCCCCATGCCATGTTGGTGCTAAACCCTGAGAGCTGGAGACCGTGAGGATCAGAACAACTTTCTTGGGGCCTGTGGGGGTCTGAACCGTTCTTCTGTGTGTCAGGATGCTCCGCCTCTGGCCATGAGCAGCAGCCTGGAACTGGCCCCTCACGGGGGCGGGGACATTGCTGGGCTTCCCCTGGTGGCCGTTCGGAGAGCGCGTGCAGTGGCCCCACCTGCGCGGCTGTCTCCGCTCTTCCGGGCTGGACCGCCTCTTAGGCTCTAGTTTCACTTTGAAGACAAATGGAGAGGAAGCGGGGTTCTATCAGACACCCATGGAGAATATCCACTTAACCTGACAGGCTGAAAGAACTTTGTGGCCACCAGACTCTACTTGCTTGAGTATCGTGGAGTTCATTTCAACCCTCGTGGGTACCTGGCCGTGCTTTAGACAGGAGGAGAACTGATGTGTACTTTGCGTTTGGTGTTTCACGTTTTGTGTACGTATTGCCATGTATCGACAAGGTCCATGTTCATATTTTAAAGACTATTCAGTATTTATTGGTCGACTAAACCACAGTTGGCTCTGTTTTCTTACGTTTGGTCATTTGATTAGAATTTCATCTAAAGACCTCGCTGGAGGGACTTCCCTGGCGGCCCAGTGGTTAAGACTCTGCGCTTCCACTGCAGGGGGCAAGGGTTTGATCCCTGGTCGGGGAAGTAAGATCCCGTATGCCACGTGGCGCGGCCAAAAAAAAATTAAAAACATAGAGACCTCACTGGAGGTGCCTGTGGGTGACAGAGACCCCTGTATCCTCACTGCCAGTTCAGATAAATGAGGGCCCCCTGTTTGGAGTTGAGCATCGCTGCTGAATGGGAGGCTAGTGCAAGCAGTTGAGGGACTCACCCAGCCTCGAGCCTCCAGACAGGCTGTAGAATGGGTGGGATGAACACGGCCTCCTGTGACTCACCGCCTCCCGAGCGCTCCCAGACCTCCTACCCTGAGTGAGACTGAGCCCGAGGGACAGCGGCAGAGACTCAGGTGGCACCGGGGGGAATCCAGAGCCTGGAGCATGCGATGCACTTGGTGGGCCTGGAGGTCCTGCTTGTGGGCTTGGCGGTAAAGACCTCCCAGCCTGCAGGCCCAGAAACTCCAGCAGGCGTGGCCCCAAACTTCATCTCTGTGAGCAGCCAATGTTCCCAACTGGGAGTGGAGGGAGGGCATCGACAGGGAGACCAGGCGGCCCCTGCTCGGCGCTGGCCTCCTGGGATTAGGGCACCAGAGGACGCATAGCAGGAGCTGCCTTTAATCAGCACATGGCCCTGCATCTCCGGCAGCTCCGTGGGCTGCTTTGGGCAGAGTCAGGTGTAGAAGGGGCACAGTGCCAGCTGGCGAGTCCTGGAAGCCGACAGCTTCATTCAGGAGGCGGAACTCTCCTCTCTGGCCTGGTGTCGGCTGGCAACCCAGGAATGACCAAACTCCTCTCTCTCTGCGGAGAGGAGACCCTCCTCCCGTCAAGGCAAAGGATGACTCTGACACCTGACTCCGCACCCTGTAGCCCTGACGCCTGACACGTCAACCCAAATTACTGTGCTGGCTCAAAAGGAGTCGTCTAGGGGACCTCTGAGGTGTGGGACATTGTGACCTCCCAGTGGGGCTCATTTAAGG